AAGTCTGACTTCTACCAATGAATAGCCAGATTAGATCATTAGAACAATGCAACCACGCTAGATAGTGCTGAATCATTTGTAACCTAACTTCTCCTAATTAAGATCCATATTGATGGTTAAGAAATTTCACACACCACAACAGATACTGATACTATTTTCATAATGGTGATAGTCAATGATCTTGATAAGCTAATGTTTCAAATTTCTTGCTAAGCATTATAATGAATTTACATGGTGGGGGTTCTCTGACATTTAATGCCATTTGTACAGCACAATTGTCCTTTCACTTCTCTTTTAAAATGGACAAGTAGTAGGAAAGTGTTTAACAAAGATAAGGGTTCAGGGCTAACATGCACACATGATCAAGATCACAAACAGGATGGACCTTAAACACTGTAGAATAACTTAAACTACTCGTTACTTAATTTACATTAGGCATATTTCTTTAAAAAAAAATGGGAGGTTTTCAGTTTCTTAAGAGGTAAATTTCAATATACAGGACATGTCCTGCAATTGCACAATGCAACCACTTGATTAGTAACAGGATAACATAAAAAACTCCTAAAAAGAAAATCTGTCGCTTTGATCATAAACTTGCTAGCAGAGATGTTTGGCCTGTAGCTACTGACTGGGTGGAGGCCACAAAAGTAATGAGAACAATAATCCCAGAGCTTCATCAGCATTGCAGCATACTCTTCACTGCTGAATCAAAACATTTCACAAATATTAGAAAGGAGCCTTTGTGAAAGATGATGTTTTAAGCACACACTGATGTTGCCAAGAGAGAACACTGGTCCAAATTCTAAGCATTAATGCCAAGAAAATAAATAATAAAAGCAGAGATGTGTATATTTTAATTTAAAAAAACCCAGGGCAACAACAGCAATCCCACGTAGCAATTTGTTTCTGTAGATGAAGGAAGATTATGTTGTAAGATTAAATTTTATGAAGCCTAAACACTAATACAACCACAAACGCATTAAAGCAATCAATGCACAGTGCAGTACTATTCAGATCATGTTAATTGCTACACAATTAAAAAATATAACCCCTTACCTTTTTTAAACAAGCACGATTTCACATTTGCGCATTCCAGACCTCCTGTAACCTTTCCTGTCTCCTGGAGACTATAGAAAGGCAGAGACATTTATCTGCCTTCACAAGTATCAAGTATTCCTCGTTTATCACAAGCTACATTAATAAGAATCCTACCACTAATTCATATTGAGCATTTACTTCCTTCCAATATTCAACCACAGAGAATAGTTTTTTTTATATTGACTTAAAATGTTGGTGGTAACTGAACCATTGTTCCTAAAAATACCCCCCATTGACACATTAAACTTCAGTGACTAATACACAGCCAATATACAATACATGCAGTACACATACTCTATATCCAGTACAACAGGGTGCAATTCATTCTCATATGGCTTTTATCTTGACACTACATTAAGAACTCCAAAAGGCAAATATGCTGCACTGCCCAGCTCACCCCCAAAATTTTAATTCTAGGTCACATTTCTCTTGTTCATTAAAGCACCATTCTCCATTGAGAACCCCTCGGATTTCTCCGGATTCCTGGGAATCCTTTAACAGAGCATCTTTGTACAGACAAAGAAAGGACTGTTAAAGTAAATAAATGTTCCTTATTGGCTTTTACTTGGCTTTGGGGTCTCCAGATATTCCACTAGAAACTGTTGCGAACATCAAAACATCTCCCACTCTGATTCCATTTGTGAGTTCCTGGCACGTTCTATACAGCCTAGTTACATCAGAAACATTGAAAAACATAGGATATTTTACATGCAAGAACATAATTCTACAAAATCTTTGTATTTCAAAGCAAATAAAAAGGACTTCCATGGTGATTAAAAACCAATCATTATTAATGCAGGCAATCTTTCGAAGCATATTGTGAGATAAATTAACACTGTTTTGCTGCATTTTTGTAGCACAGTATAATCCTGTGAATTCTCTTGCTAAAGCATGAAT